CATCTCTTTGAAGAATCACATGACCTCAGAATTTTGTATTTCTAATAACGAAATCAATTAATTTAAGGAATTGTGTACAAATGTTCTTACAATGAATGTTACCTTAACACATTCTGGACTATGGTCTATACGAGGTCCACTAGAGTTCGAACATACAATAGAAATACAAGTGGTGATATCACCTTCTATTCATCATGTGGGACCACTAATGGTAAAAAAGGCTGTGGCAAGAACTCTAATGATAGACCCTCAGTACTCCATCAAAAGGATCATTATGCCTTTACAGTTGTCAATTGCATCAGTATATAATCAATGTGCGCAATATACTGAACCATTGTTAGTGGGATGGAGAGCCTGGGTGCAAGGAGTGCTACCTCCTTCCTACAAATCATCCCAAAGGCAAAAACGTGACTTGGTCATAAAGATCCTAGGAGGGGGTTGGAGCTGGACTAGGTGTATTAAATACAGTGGACCAGCAACTTTTGGTGCAACGAATTGGACATTTAGGCCATGATGCTGCCTCCCTTTCCAAGCCATTAACATCTGCATTCCAAGCCTTAGGCACTACAACATTCAATATCACCGAGATTCTTCCTTATTGGGCTCAAGGTTCAAGAGCAAGATCATATGCAAATATTGGGGGCTTTGGGAATTCTTCAATCAAATCTTTCCGAGGCTCTGGTCTGTATAGAAGCACAACAATGGTTAATAACAGTAGCTAAATCCATTGTTAGGGATGGTTTTAATCAACAATTGCCTCTGGAATTAAAGAAAATTATCTATGAAGATGCCAATGACTTTGAAAAGGCTCACCATCAATGGTGGCAGTTATTAACTTTTACTTATATTTCAACATAATGATACTATCATGGCATTGGTACTTACCTTAAAATCAGCCAATCAGGAAACAATATATCCTTTGGTTGCTTTAGGACTATATGCCAGTCGATCTTTGTTGGTGCCTGTAGAAGAACACAAATGGGTGCATGTGACTGCCAACAATTCTTATGTCCCCATTAACCTCCAAGCATGTGTAGAACAACTCAATTTAGGATACACCTGTACCATTCAGGTGTGGGAAGAAGATTCTGCCTGTTTAAATCCCATAGAGGGAGCCTATCATTATGAGATATTTCATCATTCCCTTAGCAAAGCCTCGGCAATAGTCCAAGAAGATATTCATTGTTTCTGTATTCGAAGTTTATGTTCACACTTTTTAGTAAATAACTTCTATAGGATCAATAACACAGGGATATGAAATTTGTGTATATGCCACACCATGCAAATTATTGGTTGTGATATCAATGTTACGGTACATAATGTGCATGCCAATCATGTACATGGCGAATATAAACTGTACAATGCAGTAACACCAATCCATATTGGGGCAAATTTGGAGGCCATTCAAAAGCTTTTACACCACCAAAAGTTGGCTCAGGACCTAAATAACTTAAAAATTGAAGGGAAAAAACCCTCCTTATGGAGGAGGAAAAAAAACCCCTCAACATTCTGAGGTCAGAAATAAAACGTATTTCGGAGAAAATTAGGGATGAAACCACCCTACTTATTGGTGGGAAGCAATTTTCAACACTGATATGGGGAACGTAAAATTGGTATGGTACATCCATTTGCACCCAATCATGATACTCTTAATTGTTCAGTTCCTTTTAATCATATATGTAATAATATTAACTGTTTATTTGTGCAAGCATAAAAAGGTAAAGGAAAATTTAAACAGGTTCCCTTTAATATTTCTGTCTTAGATACCCTGTAAATGTTTGTCTACTATATTGTCTGTAAACTATGTATATGCATTATTGTTCTGTTCACGTTTTCCTGTTATTACTGTTCTACATCATATTAAGGTTGTTTTGGGACCTTTTATCTTTGGTTAAGTAAAAAGTCCCAAGGAGGGGATTGTTAGGTTGGGTTCACTTTCAGATGTTTTGTGACTACAAGAATCCATGTTGGTTCTAAAATGGAGTTTTATGCCCACATGAGCTACGGATTACTTTTCCCGCTCTTTTCTTTCTCCTGAAGTTGTAAACAACTTCCAGTCAGAATGTTTTTTTTTCTTTTCCTAAGGGGTTTCCCAGGCAAGTGTATAAAAGGCTGCCCCAGACAGGGCTTCAGGGCTGTCCATCTGAGTGACAGTCAGGGATGGTTACGGGTCACGGGTCTTACCTTCAGGCATCTACCATCCTGGTGGTGGAAGGGTTAGAGATTTTCTCCAACAGCTTCCTCACCTGTAAAAAGAAGAAAGAAAGAGAAGAAACAACATCTCCTGAGTGTCCCATCTGTTCTGCTTTCCCGTGATCCCGAAGGAACATTGAGGGACTCCTTGGAGCTCCCCTCCAAAGGCTTGAGGTCCCAAGCACCTGCCGTCGCTTTGATCTATGAAGAAGGTTTTTTTAAAAAAAATTGTTTATTGGGTTGAGTTTGAGGAGGTAATCACTGTATCATGCCATTTTGCTGTTTATTCCTCCTTTTATCTGCCCCACTCTTTGTTATAAACCCTTCAATACCTTTTATTTGATTTTACCTTTATTAATTGACTCCTCATTATTTAGGGTGGGACGGGTCCTCTTTGCAGGGGAAGGGATCCTACCAGATGACAGACGCTGGACAGGGAGGCCGAACCTAGGGAGACAGAAAGCATAAGGGTCTCTTGTCTTTATATACACACAGACACACTCTCCTCCTTTTGCCTTTCCATCCTTTTCCCCTTCTAAGAGGGCGGGGCCCGGGACAGAGTCGGGGTCCAGCACCCCCTGGCCGGCACCGGTGTCTCCTTGAATAAAGCACATGGTGACTAGCTGGTATGGAAATTTTTAATCAACATTTTTCTTACACCATCTAAGAATGGAAGGCAAGTGCAAACAGGAAAGAAAATACACAGATAAAAATCAAGGCTTCCAACAGAAGTGGGAGAATAAGTAATTTTTTGTTGAATGTAATGGTAAGGCCATGTGTCTTCTTTGCCAGACGTGTGTCTCTCAGTTTAAACCTTCAAACTTGCAGTGTCATTTTGCTTCTAGCTATGCACATATGGATCAAGAATTCCCACAAGGTTCTGAACTCCACAGTTTAAAACTGAAAACTTTGAAAAAACAAAGAGATGTAGAAGCCAAGTTCTTCACGAGATTTGCCAACTGATCGCAGACTGTAACGTTAGCCTCCTATTATGTGACCTGGCACATAGCCTGTGTGAAAAAGCCCTACTCTGATGGAGAGCTTATAAAAACGTGCCTCACTGATGTTATTTCAGTCCTGTCACCAGAGAACAGGAATCTACAGAAGAAAATTTCTGGCCTGCAACTTTCACACCACACAATAGAACGCAGAATCTCCGACCTGAACAGTGACATCAAATCGCAACTGCAATCACAACTTCAGTAGTGTGAGTATTTGAGCATCACTTTGGATGAGTCATGCCATGCACAGGTAAATCTTATTATCGGTATTTGTCTGCACTGTGTCTGATGACTGTGTTGTAATGGAAGAACTCCTCGATTCTGTGTCCGTAAAGGACAGAACTCGTGGACGAGATCTAAAGGAGGAGTTGATGTTGGTAGTTGTGAAAAGCCACTTGCCTTTACAGAGGCTCACTGCCATTACAATGGATGGGGCTCAATCCATGTGGGGATCTGTGAATGGATTAGTCGGGCTTTGTAAGTCTGACAAGAGCTTTCCCAAATTTTGGACATTTCACTGTATTATTCATCGGGAGCAACTGATGTATATAAATCTCAAATTTGATCACATCATGAAACCTGTCTTGCACATTATGAATTTCATTCTCTCAAATGCATTCAATCACAGACAATTTCAAAATCTAATTGAAGAACTGGATGAAGATGACTCCCCTGCTGTTTCACTGTGCAGTTTGATGGCTCTCAAGAGGTAAAGTTAATTCCCATTTTTTTGAGCCCCTGAACCCAGTAAAATTGATTATGGAGGAGAAGCACAGAATACACCCTGAACTTACAGATCCTGGATGGGTTCTAAACTTGGCATAATGTAATTTACAAGGAAAATTCTGGTTGCTGTCTGATCTAGTGCAAGGCGTATTTGTGTTCCTGAACAAACTGCAGTTGTTTCACAGACAAATGCTGACATACTTTCCCTCAATGTCACAACTTCAAGCCAGATCAAAAGAAGATACAGCAGAACCCCTAAAATGGAGCACAACTAGATATGAGAGCATGAGTAAAGATCTTAAGGACAGTTTTGAGGAAGGATTCCAAAATTTGTAGCAGAAAACACCTTAGATCAGATTTCTGATTGACTCTTTTAGTGCTGAAGCCAGTTGTCTGTAGCCCCCTTTAGTCACTGATAAAGCAACATCCCAGATGGAAATAATAGAACTTTTGGAAGATGACAGATTGAAATCTGTTCAGAAGACATAGGGGGACACTTACTTTCTGGGAATCTGTACCAAAGGATAAATACCCCAACATCAGAGGTGCAGTCCTAAAATTAATCTTGATGTTTGCCTCGACCTATCTTTGTGAATCTGTTTTCTCGACACTCAAACGTGAAATCCGAGCACTGATCCGTTTTGATAGACAGCCACTTAAGAGAACTACTGCGTCTGAGCACAACTGGACACAAACCAAACTTCAAGGGAATTGTTGAAAGCAAAGATTATATATATACACACACACACAGACATATAGATATATGTATTGTGACAGACCCAGACCAGTGGGGTACAGGAGTCTGGTAGAGGGCAAATATACTGGTCATTGGATGAGTAGTTTTCTGTTCCCTGAGTGACCTGAGCAGGGGCTGCACTAGAGTAATCAGGAACCTGCTAGAACCAGTTAAGGCAGGCAGACTAATTAGGACACCTGGAGCCAATTAAGAAGAAGCTTCTAGAATCAATTAAGGCAGGCTAATCAGGGCACCTGGGTTTTAAAAGGAGCTCACTTCAGTTTGTGGGGCGAGTGTGAGGAGCTGGGAGCAAGAGGCTGAGAGTGAGAGGGTGTGCTGCTGGAGGACTGAGGAGCACAAGCGTTATCAGACACCAGGAGGAAGGTCCAGTGGTGAGACTAAGGAAGGTGTTTGGAGGAGGCCATGGGGAAGTAGCCCAGGGAGTTGCAGCTGTCATGCAGCAGTTACAGGAGGCACTATAGATAGCTGCAGTCCACAGGGCCCTGGGCTGAAACCCGGAGTAGAGGGCGGGCCTGGCTTCCCCCAAACCTCCCAATTGACCTGGACTGTGGGTTCTTCCAGAGGGGAAGGGCTCTGGGCTGTTCCCCAACCCACATGGTGAATCTCTGAGGCAGGAAAATCTGCCAATAGGCGCAGGACCCACCAAGATAGAGGAGGAACTTTGTCACAGTATATAATCATTGCATATTACTGTGTCTCTTTGGCAATGTACATTGGTAAATTCTGGCTCTTTCTCAGGCTCAGGTTGGCCACCCCTGGCCCACAACAAAGTCAGGGTACAAGTATTCTGACTCCATGGCTGAGCATTAATCCATACAAGACATGCCATTGACTTTGATGGGACTCTTACGGGTAAGTTTCTACCAATTGTTCAATTTCGGTATCATTCAGAATTTAACGCCTTTCATTTTCTCCTCCTGCTTCATCTGGCAAAATCAACACTGTTTTTTCCATCAGTTGGCGATGAGAAGGTCAAACGATTTAAGGCACACACCATTGTTAATGTGATTAACAGGAAGGAAGTTGCATTTGCAAGGAGGGGCAGAATGAGTTTGGGTGTTTCCTGGTACTGTCACACAATAATCACATCTGCAGTGTGTTAGGCTCTGATAGGGATGGAGCATGTCCCAAATCCAGCTCTTCCAGAGCAATTATGTCCCGTGAAGCCAAATTACTTAGTGTACATCAGGCGTCAGTGATATCTAATTGGATACTCTTGTAGTGCTTTGTTAGACTACCATTGATTTTTCAATGGCACTAGTCAAAGGTCATCTTATAATTCCTCACAGTGAAATAGCCAGGTCTATAAACAGCAGACTCCTTTTGTTGCAGTCTTACAATTATCTCTGATGGGAAATAATTAGTTGGAAATCTTGTTGATTTGTAGGAGGCTATGCAGCCATCATAGATAGTACAAAACTGTCTGATTTCCAGCACTCTTTGAAGAACGTGTCACCTTAGACCAGCATTACTCACTGTATACTATTCTTAACAAACAAGAAAGAGGTAAACAAAATATTGCTCTCTTGCCCAAAATTAATTGAATATGTATTTACCATTTTACAGTTATATATTCTTAAGACCCTTAAAAATAACCTTTTGTACCAGTGAGATTTTTGATATTTTCTCTGCAAAGTCTTGGAACAATACCACGCCGTTATTGATAAATACATTAGTGAAAAGACTGACCACCTGAATCCTTGGGCCAGGTCTTAAGTTGTGATGTGAGTGTTATAAGAGGTCTCCTTTAAGAGCAGTTGTCCCGAAGGCCAGCCAACTGCTCTCCTAATGGGAAAAAATACTCATGTAAGGACTACATCTTTCAAACAAGAAAAATCTGAAAATGTATTAGTGCTGGTCAGAAAACAGATTTTTCTGTCTGACAAAAAAAATTGATTTTTTTTTTCATCTCCAATCAGGACAAAAAAGGCAAAC